TTTCGTGTTGCAAAAAGTCTGTTTGCCCCTCTAGGTCTAATACTAATACTGAACTCCTCCAACCTGGTTCTCTATATAAAAGGGGCTGTAGCTGACATGGAGCAGAAGGATCTTCCTTATTTAGGCCACTTATGAAAGTTTAAGAGAAAATGTGCCGTTATTATTTCCAACCTATGAACACCGAGAAAATTCCTTATTAGCTCTTCTTCTGAAATAAGTAAGCCTACAACTAAAACTAGCAGATGAATAAATGAGCCATGGAGAGCCAGGAAGGGTTTCCAACCTCCGCCCCCTCAGAAAGTGACTCAGCAGGGAGATCATACCCATAAAGCTTCAAAATCATTAAATTCTCAGCATATAGAGTGCTTCCTCTTCCTGGAGGCACTCTTCTGTCTTCTGATTTCTCCAACCCATTAAGCCAAAAGCTTTTCACAGGTTGGAGCTACTTAAGATACCATGTGAAGTGGTTTCTGGAAGCCTGCGTTTTTATTCTCTTTGCTTATTTGGCTGTTAATGTATGTGCGGAAAGGGTGTGGGGGCAGAAAAGTAAACAGAGAGGGAGGAGGAGAATCACACAATGTTTAGTGGAAAAGGGGCCTTCGGATCTCTTGCCCTCATTGTTTACAAAAGGCAAATGGAGACAGGAAGCTATGGCTGATTAACTACACAGACGGGTGACAGTGAGTCGAAGCTGGGACACTAACCTCCTGACCACCCCTCCCAGGGCTCAGAGAGGGATCGTAAGTGTGCGGACTGCAATTTGGCAGAATCTGAAGATGGGAATCTGTATAATTTAACCAACATGCGATGGTGTGGAGGCTCATAGATCTGAGAGCCTGACTCAAAATCTAGCTCTTCAATAACTAGAAAATTATTGATCCCTCTAAGCCTGGACAAGCAGAGTAACAGTTATTATGTAGCTAACTTTTACCAAGTACTGACAGCATGCCGGCCATTGTTTTAAACACTTTACATACCCTAGCCCTAAGATTCTCCCTCTCAAGTCTAGAAGTTTAATTCAAATAAGGTATGTTAGGGAGTTGTCAATAAAAGTAGCATTATTTGATCAATACTTAAAAAATATAAGCACATAATAAATAATCGAAATAGCATTAAAATTTATGGGGAAAATATATTTTACTTTCGATCTAATCCTCTGAGCTGATTTTTAATTATGATGATAAGAATTGAAATTTTAAAGTCACTTAGTAAATGAATATTCTCTCCCAAACAAAAAATTCTCTTCAAAACATTTCTTGTTACACATTGAAGAATTTAAATTTGTTTTAAATTCTAGTTCCTTACTCAACCATTTCTGTTTCCTGTAAAAAAGCAAAGAAGTGCCTTTAGGAAGATAACTTAGTACCCAGTGGCTTGGAATAGCCAAGCAAGAAGTGTTTCTAGCATTTTCCATTGACTGACCAGGTCGATTTGACTTTTTCCTCACTTCTCGGATGAGACAGAACAAGGTCTTTGTATATTATTAGTTGTCAATTATTTTTTTAAATGGTGCAAAAAAAAAAATACTTTTAAGTAAAAGGCTTAGTAGACTTATCCTCCATTGGTGCTGGTTTCCCTCTGGAGAGAAGTTAAATGCCGGTGAAAACCCACAGACGGGCAGCTCTTCTCCCAGGCTCGGGTCTGACAGCCCCTTCCCAGCTGTGGGAATCTCACAGTGGGAGGTGTCAGACCCAGGACCTAATCTCGCAGTGGGAGGTGTCAGACTCAGGACTGAATCTC